GTAGCCTATCCAAGAGCCTCAGTTAGATTTGTATAAGATTCTAAATTTTTGTTTTGTTTCATGAATTCCATTTCCATTTATTTGTAATCAACATAATATTGTAAATTATATGAAAATACACATATTTAGTGGAGTTAATTTTTTAATTTGCCACAGTCAGTTTGTCACATAATCTTGACCTACTGGGCTTTTGGAGACTCTTGAGTTTTTAAATTTCCCCCCAAACTCCTATTTTTGGGGAGAATTTTACAGAGAGAATAGTAAATTTGTTCCTGGAGTGGTTGGCAGGTGTTCTCAGGAGGTACTCTGTAGACGTGTGAGTTATGTACCCTCTGGGTACTTTCCTTACTTATTTGTATTTGAAGTAGATATGAGCTAACTGCCTTGTGATGAATTCTTTTGACCCTTGACCATAGGTGCAATGTCTTTGCAAATTGATTTTGAACTAGTTTTATGAGGTACAGATGGTTAGAGGGTGCTGGGAGTATTATGTCCTACCTCCTCGCAATCCCTCCATTGCTGCTGTCTGTTTGCCTTTCTTTCATTGTGCCCTGCCAGACAGCAGGGCTTCTCTGCATTAGAGACAAAAGGAAAAGTGTTGACAGAATTTATTGTTCCATCAAACAAAACTTGTGGTATAAAGACGGCATTTAGCATAAGCACTCTCATTCTCAGTGCTGGGGTGTCTGTCTAAAGTTAATAATAATAATAATAAGAGCATTTGCATCCCGCCTTTCCCCACAGCATGGGCCCAAGGCGTACATAGGAGATTAAAAACGCATTCATACTAACACCATACAAATTCATCATGTGCGTACATTTTGACAGCAACATTTTTTAAAAACTTGCGCCGAGGCTTGCTACTCTCATGTCGTGGGTGGTTGGTGGGTGCTCTGGTGTGGTTTGCTCCTTCTTTCCTATCAAACAACTATCGTCTGTATCTCTCCTCCTTTTTTATGTTTGTTACTCTCTTGTAACACCTCTAATCTTCGGCACTTATACGACCTTATTGTGTTGCAAGTGTTGTAAAACTCTTACTAGAACTTGAACCACCCCCCCTCCCCCCAAAAAAAACAACTATTGTTAAATACAGACTTGGTCTCCTTGATGCGATCACATGACACAAAGCCTTACACTTGCTGGCTGTGACTTTGTTACTTATCATACACAGCTGTTTGTTGACCTGATCCCTACCGTGTGATTTGTCGAATTTGTTGCACTCGCGCCTGTGGTGTAGATGTTAGGTGCTTCGTTGTTGCATGCTAGAGACCCAAGTTTCGATTCCCGAGTGGGGAGAAATTTTATTGAGTATCTCCGTCTTTCTGCCCCTCAGCTCAGGTTGTCCCTGACATTCAGGGTCAACACAAGCCCCATAAATAACCTAAATTGTGTTGATGGGGGTGTAAAGGCACTTACATTTATTTAAGATAAAACAAAATATATATATACACTTGTATGTTGCTTTCTCTTAAGTGATATTTTGCTTTGCTCATAGCCAGATGATATTTGTTGATTGGAAGAATTGTTTCTTTTGTTCACCCTGGTTATTGCAGGGACAAGGAATGGTTTTCTGAGAAAGTCCATGCCTTATTTAGTATTACGCATAGATAATTGTTGAGCTGTGTCGTGTAGTCTGCCACTTCCATTACTTCATTTATTGTGTCGAATGTCACCATCTGTTCCTTGAAAAGTGTAACGAGCTATTTGGTGATTTGTGAACCCTTTCGTGATGCAAATTTTTGTTTCAACTCTTACTGCATCCATTTTTTCCCAGCCAGGACAGTGGGCAGTCTCTGTCATTTTGGGGTCCTTTTCAGATTTAACGACATGATTCTGATATTTTTGTGATCACAGATGTTTAATCTTTCATTAGTTTTCCGGTAAAATTCAATTTGAAGTTATTGTAGAACAGTTGTAAAATCCTGTATGGTGCCTTTTTTTGGTTGTACATTGTTTATTAGGGTGGAATCTTGTCTAATAATGATTTACACACTGTGTATGGGAGCTGTCGCGGAGGGGTCAAACATTTGTCAGGTGTGCTGACAAAATGAGTTACTTCTCGCAATCCACAAATAGAGAAATTGGCCAAAAATTGACACAAGGGTCAAATTTGTAGCTTTTCTATTGATGCCGTATTATTCTTTAAGTATAACACGCCCTTTTATTATTTCATACCTTATAAATTGTACCAATTTCACCGATAAGCGTGATTTTTTTCCCCTAGGGCTCAAAACGGAGAGGTAACTCATTTTGTCAGTACACCTCTCATTTCCTCTCAGCTACACCAGTGTCTGTGGTTAGACTTTTCACTGTTGCATTTGGAAGAGGTGGGTTCAATTGCTGAGGAGGGAATTGACTTTATCAACTGTCTGATTGCTGGGGTGTTTTAGATCCCATCAGCCATGTTGGCTGTTACTGGCTGAGTAAAAGCAATCCCCCTCCCAAATGATGTAATTATTGTATCGATGAGGTGGTGTTGGACATTTAAAAGTATATTTACAATATTTACAACTCAACTGCCCTGGCATTTTTTACTTGAAATGAACTCATTCCACATGTTTGTTCCGTGAATGAAGAAAGAGGTGGTCATGTTTTACTCTGAGAAGATTCTACAAATCTTGTCTCCTGTCACTGTTGTATAAACATTTTCTCCTGTTACTGGATGGGTGGTTGGTGGGTGCTCTGGCGTGGTTTGCTCCGTCTTTTCTATCACAAACATCTATGGTTCTTATCTCACCTCCTTCTTTTCTTTGTATGTTACTCTCTTGTAACACCTATTTTCTTCAGTACTTATATGTTCTATTAGTGTTTCAAAAGCTGTAAAACTCTTTAGTAAAACTTCGCTAAAAACTCCTGTTACTGCTTCATAGACTGCGGACATCCGAGTGTCTTTGGCGTGGCAGTTAGACACTTCATCATCATTGTACACAGGAGTCCCAAGTTCAATTCCTGAGTGGGGAGAATTTTTATGGAGTATCTCGGTCTTTCTGCTGGAATGTTGTATCCATCTCAGCCGGGGTTGGCCCAGACAGGCAGGGCGGGAAGCCCGCCTCCTAAATGATCTAAATTGTGTTGACTAGGCTGCCGTAAGCTCACAAAACGTCTTTTTTTCTTCAGAGCACTTTCAAGAAAAAGAAGTTTTTTGTCAGCGTAATCATTTAAAAATAGAGTCATTCTGAAATTTTGATTTCTAATTTATTCAAAAACAAGTCACAATGTCAGTTTGATTTTTTCACACGAGTAAGGTTACTGATCAGGCTTTCTATTTTACAAGTAAAACATTTTGACCCCAAAATGAAAAAAAAAAAGGTGTTTTGTCGGCTAATGGCAGTAGGGTGTAAACCATCTACAATTTCGATTTTTTTTTCAAACGTAGTAAGTTTTCCACTTTGTATGCAACATGTTTTGTTGCAAAGTCTGTTACACAAGTGTGTCCCCCACCAACCATTCCCCCCCCCCACCCCACCCAGTCTTCTCAATCTCTTCTTTTTAAAATTGTTGTTGTTAAGATTTCAGTTTTTACTACATTGTTGACCTTTTTGATTGTTGAGCGACATATCTAATAAATCTCTCACATCTCTACTCACTGCTATGCTTTGTTGATGCTGTGTTCATTGTTATACAGTATACACTATGTATTCATCGTATTATATATGTGTATGTGTGTTACTTAATCTTATTATATATATAAACATATTTATGTATAATGTGTATAAGTCACACACACACACACACGCACACACACACACACACACACACTAATACATACGAAATGTTTTTATACATTTACTCTTATATATATATATATATATATATATATATATATATATATATATGTTGGCTAGATAACCTTATTTGCGGGCGGTTGGAGGTCGCCTCTGTTAAGTTCTACTTCTTTGCTTTCCCCACTGTTGTTTCTGTCTGTCTTTTTCCCAGCACTAAATGAGTTAATGTGTCAATGGGCTTCTCTTTACATAAACAAGCAAACGAACAAACAAACAAGCAAGAGTGGGTGGATAGCGGGTGCTCTGGTGTGGTTTGCTTCTTCTTTCCTATCAAACATCTATTGTCCTTATCTCTCCTCCTTTTTTATGTTTGTTACTCTAATCTTCGAAACTTATATGACCTTATTGTGGTGCAAGTGCCGTAATACACTTACTAACACCAAATTAAAACAAATATCCTTATTTAAGGTGTTTGGAGGAACACAAGGCAGAGTAGGGTAACTGGTCAACGCCGTTTATTACAAATAAAACAAAGCAACTCAAGTACTCAAGTCTATCAGAATCAGACTGTCTTCGTAGATACAACAAACTGTATAGAAGTTCATCACAAAAATATTCTCATCAGAAACTCCCAGAAATTGTTCAAGTCCTTATGGTGACCTCTCTCCCCAGCCACGACTTCCGGGTCACTGTGCTGATGTCAGGGGGCGTGGTCAGATTGCTTGGAGATCTGACGTCATCGGGCTGTGTTTTCCTTGATGGTCAGTCGGGTCAGCTGATGATAGCCAGACTGGTTTGGTGGGGGGGGGGGGGGGGGGGCGGGGGGACCTCGTTCTGTTTGTGCCGGGGTCAAATCATTGAGCGACCTTGAACTCCAGGGTTGTCAGTGGCGTCAGCAGACCGTACTGGAAGACACGAGTGTCACAAAGATGGTGATAGTGATAATAATAATGATAATAATAATAATAATAATAATAATAATAATAACAACAACAATAATAATAATAACAATTATGATACTGCTGCTGGTACTGCTTCTACTACTTATGATGTAGCCTATATATAATAATATTGCGATGATAATATTGTTTTAATAACAACAACAACAATAATAATTATTATAATAATGATGATGATGATGATGATGATGATGATAATTAAAAAAAATAAAATAAATTGCACTTTATTGGTCCCGCAAATAAAAGTATAGGAAAACCTTAACAATCAACACTAGGCAATATTGGCAGGACCTCCCCCCCCCCAACCACAGGACCAAGCCAAATGTGTTGAGAGCCTTGGAAACTCCACAAAATGGCTAGAGTTCAAAAACGCTCAATCTGGGGTTTGAACAAAGGCCTTCCGCTCTGTAGTCCAGCATGATACCAATTAAATTAAGTGCTCTGCCTCCCCTAGATACTCTAGGTCTATCTCTGTGTATCTACCCGTCTGTCTCTGTCTGCCTGTCTGACTGTCCGTCTGTCTGTCTGTCTGTCTGTCTGTCTGTCTGACTGTCCGTCTGTCTGTCTGTCTGTCTGTCTGTCTGTCTGTCTGTCTGTCTGTCTGTCCTCACCTTCACAGAAATATCCTCCGCCTCCTCCAGATACTCAATCTCAACATCTGTGGGATCTTCCCGTCCAGGGAAAGGTGTGCCCAGCTCTGCCATGCCGTCCCAGCAGAAGTGTAACCTCTGTAGCGCCCAGATTTTCTCCGTCACATCTCTGGACTCCACGGGCAGTTCAAAGGTCAGAGGTTGCGCCTCTGCCGTGACCCAGGAAGTGGTCATTCGCCGCTTGACCATCTTCACACCTTTGGATTCCATGAACGCTTCCACCGTCTGGATGCTGTTGTCTATGAGTTTACCTGGTGCCAAATACACGTCAAAATAACTTAAACTCACACTGCATGGTCTTCAAAATACATAAATCACACACGGTGTGATTATTGTCATCATCATACACACAGTATGGTCATAAAAATACAAAACACACGGTATGGTCATAAAATTACATAAAACACACACGGTATGGTCATCAAAATACATAAAACACACACGGTGTGATTATGGTCATAAAAATACATAACATCTCCTATCTTGTCCAATCCTGCCTCAATTACCCCCTCCCCCTTCCCCCGCTTTTTCCATCTAGATCTACCCCTACAAAGTCCAATCTCCTATCTCAATACCCCCTCGCTCCACCTACCCCCCCTCACTTACCCCTCCAAAGTACATTATCTCCTTCCCCAATACCCTTCCCCCCACCTACCCCATCCAAAGTCCAATCTCCTACCTCAATACCCCCCCCCCCCACCCCCCCCCTTTCCACCTACCCCTCCAGAGTCCAATCTCCTACCTCAATCTGTCCCCGGGATTTTATGCACCCTGCATAATTAATTTACAAAATTTGATAATTTTTTGGCATAATGTCTGATTATATAGTTTCCTTTATCATTCTTTGTTAAAATTAACAGAATCACATAATTTCACAGTTTTGGGCGCAGTTTGCATACATTCAGATTAATTTTTTTGCATAAAACCGCAGGGACAGCTCTATACCCCCGCCTCTCCACCTACCCTTCCTCCCTTCCACCTATCCACATACCCCACCCCTTTTTCCACCTACAACATTACAGACCTGCTAGGATGACGTCAGAGCCTTTGAAAAAGTTCCGGAAGAAGGTGGAGGTGAGTGAGAAGTCGTCCACCTCGGCTTGGGAGTAGTTGAAGTGCACGTGACTCAGCAGGATGTGCGCGTGCTCGCGGTAAAAGTCCCGGATCTGTGGACAGCATGACGTCACAGACTTCAGAGAGACAGAGGAACGACAGTGAAACCTTCTGGAACGGTCACTTGTTTAATAAGACGATCACCTCTAACAACGGCCCCCCCCCCCTTTGTGAGCCTTTTTAATGACACACACACACACACACACACACACACACACACACACACACACACACACACAT